GAAGAGAAGAGAAGAGAAGAGAAGAGAAGAGAAGAGAAGAGAAGAGAGCTTGCAGTCTCACGGAGAGAAAAGTCTAGTCAGTGGCCAATGCGGTGAGTGAGCCGCTGTGACTGGAACTGGGTAAGCATGGTTCATTGTCCACATGTGGAGGGTGGGTGTCACCCCATCAGCAGGGAGAGGGGAGGGCGAGGGGAAAGCAGAAAACCCTTCATGGGGAGGTCAGTTTGAGAACTAAATTGGGAAGTGAAGGATTAACAGGAGTTAATTAGGACAAAGGGTAAAAGTTGGGGATAACAGAAAGTAGAATGGTGGTTGCCAGGGGCTAGGGGAGGGAGAAGGGGGAGTTGTTTAATGGGTATAAAGTTTCAGTTTTGCAAGATGAAAAGAGTTCTGGAGACTGGTTGCACAATAATGTGAATGTACTTAACACCACTGGACTGTACAGTAAAAATGGTTCAGATGACAAATTTTAAGTTATGTGTATTTTTCCGCAATTAAAAAATGTTGGATAGGAGGAGATGAGGAACTGTGCTCCAGGCAGAGGGAACAGTATGTTCTAAAGCTTGGAAATAGGAAGGAGATTTGCATTAGTCCAAGGTCTTTTAGCTACTAGGAATAGAGGCGAGAAGGATCAAAACGTTCCCTCCTTTTCCTGGATCTAGAGCTTGCTGCGAGGCCCCCTGTAAAAGGCTAAGTTAGCCTTTGGTGTGCTGTCATGGCCCCTTCTGTACTTTTCTCCTTCTAGTATCCCCTTCTCCATGCAGCCGATGTTCTGCTGTTCATCCGAGCCCCCTGGGGCACTCCATGGGCCAGGCATGTTTCAACCCTTAAAGCTCTATGTACTTCCAAATTACTCACCTTTGTTTCCACCCCATCGGAATTTTTAGTCCCTCAGAGCAGCTGTTTCTAGCTAGGCTGCAAGAGAGCAACTATCTGATTAAATATACTTTTACTAAAGTGTGACAGACTATTCACCTCTCTGAAGTGTCAGAATCTTAAGAGGATACTTCTTAAACTAAGGTAAGTCTTTTATTGGTGAGATTTTAATGGTAGAATGAAGGGAAATGGTAACATTTTAGGTGCTATTAGAAAGAATATTTTGGTTTGCAGAGCTAGCCTGTAATCAGGCTTATCTTGCTTGAAAATTTGTTTCAGGACTTTGATTCTCCCAAACTGTTACTTTTTTTTTTTTTTTTCCAGCTTCTCCTCTTCTCCCTATGATATCTCTGAAAGTTGCAAATCCTTTTTGGTGTTACCCACAAAAGGGTGTCTTATGCTGAGTAGGGGGAATTGGAGGGGGAAACGGAGGTTGGACAGAAGCCATTTGTTTGCATGGGTCATTACTAAGTCAAGGACTTCCTAAACTCTCATATATTGCCAGATGAAATTGTCCCTCTTTAGACTGATGTCACTATGAACCATGCTTAGTCATAAATATACAGGTTCCTTGGTTTCAAATCCTAACTTCACTACTTTGTGTGACCTTGGACAAGTCACTTAACCTCTCTAAGCCACATTGTCCTAGATGAAAAATGAAGATAATAATAGGATTTATCTCCTATCGTTGCTGTGGGGATGAAATGAAATAATGAATGCAAAGCACTCAGCATGATATTTGGCATATCAGAGATATATAACAACTGTAGCTGTCACCACCACCACCACCAACATCATCATCATTTTTACTGAGGGCTCCTATTTAAGAGCTGTTCTGGCTCAGTTCTAACCAATGCATGAGACTGAGCAAAAACAGCACAGAAACTCTTTCTACTTTCGTCAGGATGTCTGCCCAAGGAAGATGGCAGGGGGCAATGCAGAGGACCAGACTCCCACGTATTTCTCTGTTTACGGAGTTTGAGATTGGCAAGGATATGATTGTGCCTTTTCTCTTAGTTTTGCAATCTCTGGCACAAAAAATGTTTCCACCCTGATTTGCCTACAGCCCTTGATCTGTGGCACTGCCTCCTGCCTGTTCCTTCAGCAGCTTCTTCATGCAGGATTCATTGCTGCCCAGCCCCAAAAGAAGCAGCCAGGAGGCCAGGAGTGGTGGTTCACGCCTGTAATCCCAGTACTTTGGGAGGCTGAGGTGGGCAGATCACGAGGTCAGGAGTTCGAGACCAGCCTGGCCAACATGGTAAAACCCCGTCTCTACTAAAAATACAAAAATTGGGCAGGCATGGTGGCAGGCGGCTGTAATCCCAGCTACTGGGGAGGCTGAGGCAGGAGAATTGCTTGAACCTGGGAGGCAGAGGTTGCAGCGAGCCAAGACTGACAAAAGCGAAACTGCATCTCGGAAAAAAAAAAAAAAAAAAAGCAGCCAGGAAGACCATACACATTTCTCTGTTAATCAAAGACTATTTTTAGGAGAGAAAGTCTCCAGGTCATCATCCTTTCCTTGGTCTGAAGCAGCAGCAGCCGTATCTGTGGGTGGAGGATGAGCTACAAAGTCAACCTATACTCCCAGTGTTTGTAGATCTCTCCATGGGGGAAACGAAATAGAAAAGGAATCTGAGGAGAGGCAGACCTGGCCTCAGTCCTCTATTGAAAATACAAGCCTGAGTGTTTCCCAGATCGGCTCCTAGCTTGTGGTGTGTGCAGGGTGAGGGATGCACAACTCCAGGGGACAATGTCTACCTCATTATTTAGGGAACTGTGCAGTGGATTACCTTCAGGACCCACAGGACATCCCTGCAAATTATCCTTCCCCAGGCCAGCTAAGCATAAGCACTTGGTTCCATCCGATGTCTCTTCCTCACTAATATTTACACTCAGACCACGGGGTTGCCCATGAGTAACTCATGAGAACAACACATTTCTCAGGCTTTCCAAGAAGGAAATCCTCTCTGCTACTTATTGGTATATTTGGGGAGAAATTGTGGGTTTCTGGAGGTCTATATATGAAATAATATGATCATGAGTCAAATTACCTAGAGAAGTAGAGGTAACTTTTTAGGGGAAAAGCTTACCTTTTAGGAAATGCTGACTACTAGGCCCTTCCTCTTCATGGCTGATATTTGAATTGACAGATTCATAGGCTGAAAAACAATAAGATATTTTATCTGAGAGAGGGAAAAAGTCTTGTAAAAATTTATTCCCTTATCCGAAGACAGGAGAAAACATGAAGTGGTTGCCTCAATGTTTAAGCTTTGCAAAGAATTGGATTTTTTATTGTTGTTGTTTTTACTTTTTGAGACGGAGTCTCTTTCTGCTGCCCAGGCTGTAGTGCAGTGGCACGATCTGGGCTCACTGCAACCTCTGCCTACCGGGTTCAAGCAATTCTCCTGCCTCAGCCACCTGACTAGCTGGGATTACGGGCATGTGCCACCACGTCTGGCTAATTTTGTGGATTTTTAGTAGAGGTGGGGTTTTGTCATGTTGGCCAAGGTGGTCTCGACTGCTGACCTCAAGTGATCTGCCCACCTCAGCCTCCCAAAGTGCTGGGATTACAGGCGTGAGCCACCACACCGGCCTTGAATTGGATGTTTTTGAAAATCCACAGATGATATTCTGGAGAGAAGGTTGATCTAGGATTAAAAAAGCATTGAGGAAAATAAGGTTTTTATCCAAGATGTTTAAAGGTAAAATTCTGTAGGGTCCATGATGATAAAATTCTGTAAGGAGAACTTTTGACAAAACAAGATCATGAAACAGTTAACGTTTGACACATGCTGCAAGATGCCCAGATTTGAACAGCAGCTGTGTCTCAGTGTGTGCAGCCATGGGGGATGACAGACAAGCACAAAAAGCCCCCTCTCCGGTTGTAGCACAAACAGAGTGTTGGACCAGGGGAGCCAGGAGGGATTCTAGTCCGTCTGATTCTAGCCAAAAGACAGACAGGCTTTTTCACAGCCCCTGCTGATTTTTTTTTTTTTTTTTTTTTTTTTGCGATCTGCTAGTCACCTGGGGTGAGAATTATTCTCTTAGCTGTCCTTGTCAGTCAAAATGAAAATTAGTTAAAACAATGCTGTCTTAATGACTGATGAGAATTAGAATGACAGACTTGTGAAAGTTAAGGGAGAGGTAATAGCAAAGAGGTCAATTGAGTGGGTCCTGTATGAAGAGTTTTTTTTTTTTTTTGAAACGGAGTTTCACTCTGTCAGCAGGCTGATGTCAATGGCACAATCTCGGCTGGCTGCAACCTCCACCTCCCAGGTTCAAGCAATTCTCCTGCCTCAGCCTCCCAAGTAGCTGGGACTACAGGCGCCTGCCACCACACCCGGCTAATTGTTTTGTATTTTTAGTAGGAACAGGGTTTCACCATGTTGGCCAGGCTGGTCTTGAACTCCTGACCTCAGCTGATCCACCTGCTTCTGCCTCCCAAAGTTCTGGGATAACAGGCGTGAGTCACCGTGCCCAGCGGGAAGAAAGGTTTTTAAAGGGAAATTTGGTGTGTTTGTATGAGAGGCAGAGAGAAGCAGAGAGACAGAGAAGGGAGAGGGAGATGTGAGATATCAGGGAGAGAGCAATAGAGAAGAAAAAAAGGAATCCTAGAAAATTCAAACCGGAAAAGACTTAGAGATCTTTTAGTCTACCTAGCCACCAAACTCATCTCCAAATAATTCTATTTATTTATTTTTTTGCTGCATTGTCTCATTACCGATAACAAATAGACTAGAGAGGATGCCCAGAAAGAATGTTTGGGTCTTATTGATTTGCTGAACTGCGGTGGGGCTTGGCAAAGCCTGCCTCTCGGTGCTCCTGCATCTCAGGGCACACGCACCGTCACGTGCGCGCGGATGGCCGAGGCTGAGCAGGCGGCCTGGGATTCTGAGCACCAACACTGGGGAGAGGAAAAGCCGTAATTAGTGTTAATTGTTGACCCTACGGTTCAAGAGTAGATGCTCTGGAGAATGGGAAATGAGAACAAACATTAATTATTGAGTAGGGACCTTGGAGACAGACACTCTGGATTAAAAGGAGAGAGATAAATTGCATAATGAATGTTAATTTTCCCTCAAAGAATTGAGTGGTCGGTGGTTGAAAGGGAAAAAGAGGCTAAAAAACAGTCATGAAAGAGAAAACTCTGTGTGTGTCAGGTGAGAGGGTGGAGGAGGGTTACACAAACACTATCTGTCACCGCCACTGCCCTGCCCTTTGCCTCGTAGCTCCCAAGAAGTTTGGTATCAGGGTTTTCCTTAGAACTCATTATTTACCACAGCTGCCTGCTAGGAAGCTCAACCATTTCCCCTACAGCCCAGGAGCCAGAAAACAGCCACACTGCATTGCTGACAAGCTGAGAGGCGTACGGCATGGGGATCTATTTTTTTCTGTGTGCTGGTGGGACTTTGACTTGGCTTGAAGGAGGCTGCCAGAGCGGTGGCCCTGTGGGTGCTGCTGTGGGGACAATGTGGGCTCCAGGCCTTAGTTGCTGTTTTAGCTTAATTATAATACAGGAGACACACATGTCTCCCTTTCCGAAATAACCTTCTTAACTGAAAGTAAAAACAGAATAAAGATAATTTAGGCTGGGCGCAGTGGCTTACACCTGTAATCCCAGAACTTTGGGAGGCCGAGGCAGGTGGATCACTTGAGGTCAGGAGTTTGAGACCAGCCTGACCAACACAGTGAAACCCCATCTTTACTAAAAATACAACAAATTCAGCCGGGCGTGGTGGTGCACCTACTTGTGCACCACGTGGTGGTGTCCCAGCTACTTGGGAGGCTGAGGCAGGAGAATCGCTTGAACCTGGGAAGCAGAGGGTGCAGTGAGCCGAGATCGCACCACCGCACTCCAGCCTGGGTAACAAGAACGAAACTCAGTCTCAAAAAAAAAAAAAAAAAAAAAAAAAAAAAAGTGAATTTGAGTAGAAGATTGGAGATGAGCACTGTAGCCAATTTTATAAAGAGGATCTACAAACAGGCTTGTCATGGGCGGCCCAGATCTCAGAGTGCTGGTTGAGATGCTCTTGTGCAGTCAGCGGCCCTGGGGAGCATGCCTTTTAGGCATGGCTGCTCACTGCCTTCCACTCGGCCCTCACCCAGTGCTGTCCAGCTGATTTTGCAGTAACCTGAGCCCTCTGCCTTTTCTCTTGTCTGTTCCTTCATGCTAGCTCACGCGCTGGGTTGCATGACATCCCTCCTCAAACATCTGATTCCTTGTTGCCTAAACAGCAGCATTTCAGCTTTCTCCTGGCACACAAGGCTTTCCCTGGTCTGGCCCTGGTCTGCCTTTCAGGCCCAGCTTCTCCTCACCCCCGCATGAAACCCCCCCACAGTCCACTCACACCGTGCTGCTCCTCATTATCCACGTGTTCTCTACGTTCCTCTTTGTCCTTGTTCATGCTAGTGTCTCAGCTGGCTGGCCCTCCCCTTCTCTGTCTATCTACTTCTCGTTTCTCAAAGGTCAGTGCAAATGGAGCTTCCTCTGTAAAAAGCCCTTCCCACCTTCCTAGGCTGGAATTAATGGGCCCTTCCTGGAATACCCGTGGATCGTGCTCTTAGGCCTCTGTGATGGCACTCATTTCATTCTGCCTTATGGTACAGTTATTGGCTTGTGAATCTGTTCTCCACGTGGACTGTGAGGTCCTTGAGGGCAGTGACTGCAGTGCCTGGGGTGTAGCCTTGGTATGTGGAGTGAGGACAGACAGGCCTGGGGATGAAGCCCAGCTCTGCCCTTAACCAGGTAAGTGAGCTCCCTGTGTTTCAATCTCTTTACCTATGATATGTGAATGAAAATACTCACTTCCTAGGATCACTGGGATAAGGGAACAAGATGACATGCACAGCAAGGTGCCTGAGGGTGTTTGCTCTCAATATTAACATCCTTCCATGTCCCTTGCACATGGGAGGCGTTTGGTACATTGTATCAAACGGATCAAACACACACGTAATGGGCCTTCTTTGAGGTTCAATGATATTTTGTACTGGAATTTTACTTAATACTTTATAAGATGGAGAGCAAGTGTGATCTGATTTGATTTTCACAAAGCAATGTGAAGTTTGTTGGCAGATATTATAGTTGCATTCTGTTAAGGCACAAGGTAAGCTGCTGTAAGACAAGAGACCCAAAAAGATAAACATTTATTCCTCTTGCACATACACGTCCAGAGGTAGGCAGACAGGCCGATCAGGGTGGCTCTGCTCCATAAAGTTACCTGAACACCCTGGTTCCTAATATCTTAGTACTCCATCATCCCATACAGAATTGTTCTCTTCTACATGGTTGAAGCTATTACCACAACCAAGTCCAAGGAGAAGGAGAAGGGGAAGGGCAAACAGTTTCCTTTTAAGGAAATGGCCTGGATGTACATGTGTTACTTCCATTCACTTCCCATTGGTCAAACCTTGGTCACGTGGCCATACCTAGCTGCAAGTGAGTCTGGGAAGCATAATTTCTCGTAGGCAGCCATGTGTTCAGCTAAAATCCAGGGTGGGGGGTTCTATTATTAGAATTTAGCTGAACACATTCTTCCACTATTCCTTTTGTAAATATTATTCAGTCAATATTCATAATATTCAGTCAATATTATGAGAAATACTCTGGGAATACAAGATGTGTTCTCTGGGATATTCAGAGGTAGATGAGGGGGATTTACTCACAGGAATTTTCAATCTAGGAGGGGAAATAAGAAAGATAGTAAAAAGGATAAAAGATGTGAGGGAGTGCTTGGTAAGAGGCCCAGGTGGTAAGAATGAGTGGAATGTAAGGAAATAGCAATAGTTGTGGCTGAGGTGGTCAGGTAAGGTATCACAGTAGAGAGGGAACTTCAACTGGTCCTTGAAGCTTAAATACCTGGATAAGAGGGACTAGAGTCTGTGTGATGCAATGGGAAAAGCTCTGGCCTCACTGGATGAAGGAAGATTTAGGCTTGAGCCTTGGATTTGCCATATAAAAGCTGTGTGGCTTTGAGCAAATCATACCTCTTTGGGCATCAGTTTCCTTATCCATAAAATCAGAGGTTTTCTTTTCTCTTTTTGAGACAAGGTCTCACTCTATTGCCTAGGCTGGTGTGCAGTGGTGCAGCCATGGCTTACTGTAGCCTTGACCTCCCAGGCTCAAGCAATCCTCCCACCTCAGCCCCTGGAGTAGCTGGGA